TACTGTTATGTTTATGTCCTAGGTTTGATCACTGATGTACTTACTGTTATGTTTATGTCCTAGGTTTGATCACTGATGTACTTACTGTTATGTTAATGCCCTAGGTTTGATCACTGATGTACTTACTGTTATGTGTATGTCCTAGGTTTGATCACTGATGTACTTACTGTTATGTGGATGCCCTCGGTTTGATCACTGATGAACTTACTGTTATGTTTATGTCCTAGGTTTGATCACTGATGTACATACTGTTATGTTTATGTCCTAGGTTTGATCACTGATATACATACTGTTATGTGTATGTCCTAGGTTTGATCATTGATGTACTTACTGTTATGTTTATGTCCTAGGTTTGATCACTGATATACATACTGTTATGTTTATGCCCTAGGTTTGATCATTGATGTACTTACTGTTATGTGTATGTCCTAGGTTTGATCATTGATGCCTTTGGTGAGCTCAGGGACCAGGTAGAACAGGTCAAAGAAGACATGGCGGTCAGTACCTCGACACACTCTACTTAAGCTGTCACTCAGGATTCTTAGCTAAAATTGTTTTATTCCTGTAGACACCTTATCATGAATTATTTGTAAAAACTTCAAAAAGCTATGTAAACAAAGTAAGGATGAACAAATTCACTATTCCGAGGGGAAGCCTACATCAACACATCATCAAAGGGTTTACGTTTGATTAACTTTAGTAAAGGTTTACCTATATGTGACATCTTCTAATACCCAAAACTTGCTGGAGATTTTTAAACGTTTGTAGCCTACTAAGGAGTGTTAAACACGAATCCTCGATGTTTGTAAAAACACCTAGTATATAGTGTGCAATGTTCTTCTATTTCAGTCAAAATGCTTCATCTGTGGTATCGGAAAAGAATACTTTGATAAAATACCACATGGGTTCGAGACCCATGTCAAGAATGAACACAATTTCGCAAATTACATGTAAGTATTGCTTATAAAATTATGATAACTTTTGGCTACATTGAAACATTCATGACAATGTCATATATTTCTGAAATATGTAAATTTATCATCGGAAAAGAGCAGATCAGAGAAATTGCTGATAAAGGAGTATTTTGTGGTGAGAAAGATATGTTTTACATAATTAAATAATTCTGGTGTCATTTAAGGTACAGGTTTTATGTAATTAAATAATGTAATTTTTGAGAAAACGACGTAATTTTCTCACACAAACCAATGACGTAACAATCAATACCTGTTGACAAGAGAAGATAACTCTGCAATACGCAAAGACGGAATAGGTTTTACGTAATTAAATAATTCTCGTGTCATTTCAGGTTCTTCTTGATGCATTTAATCAACAATCCTGAAACGGAATACACAGGACAGGCGAGTTAAACAACAGTTACGACATCTAAGTCCGTAGTTTGCTGTTTCTTCTGTGAGATGATTCACATGTTCGTCATCTGCCATGGTTGACAATCAGTCAGAACTTATAGATTGACAATCCACCTTTCTTGTTGGTTAAAGTTGTATTGTGTACAGCTTCCTGAAAACCTCCTCCTTGACGATTTTTTTGCAGGGTTAGATGACCCCATCTTGTAAAGTACCAAATTGTAATGATCTTCCCTTGTACAGATGTGACATCATTCAGAATGTTGTATTTTTTCAATATGGACTGGAGGCAAAGTCAGATGAAATGTCTTGAAATACTTTCATAGAAGACAGAATGTTGACTCCGGTCAGCCATGCAAGATAATAAATTTGATACATACCGATTCATTTTTACCTTGATGACAAAACCATTATTTTTTCCACAAAAGATGTATTGTGGTATAATATTATTTTATTTTAATCCTTGTCAAATGGTGTTTTATTACATAAACTCAAAATTAATGATACTGCATCAGTTTCACAGAAAACAGATAAAAAAATATCTTATTCCACAAAGTGCTGAGAATATATCTCCTTTACTAATGGAGTTATATGTTTGTGTGGTTTACAGGGGTCTTATGTATGGGAGCTGTATTAGCAAAGGTGCTGGGATTTCTTCCCTTAGGGTGACTGCTTCAGAAAGCAGTACAAGGACGAAGCTTCAACCTAATGCAACCAAACAGAGACTGACAGCAGTCATGGTAACTAAAATTCCAAAGAGAGGCTAACAATCCTGATCATTAAGGTCCTCAGTTTCAGTCCTTTTGTCCCAAGCTGAATCAATCTGCTCAAATATTGGGGAATAATCCAACCAAATACTCTTCCCCAAGAACAGAGATGCAAACATTATTCCCCAGTGGAGCTTTTCGTTGACCTTTCTTTAGGTCACTAGTATCAGAGCAAAGCTTTCTCTCCATTGGCACGGTACACTAGCCTCAGAGTGAGGCTCAGTTGACATGGCGCCCCTTCACAGACCTTAACCACATCTGATGTATACCTTCGTAGGATGCCAAGCCAACATGTGATATCTCAGATGTATCTTCACGATGAAAACATCACAAACATGGCCCTGTGTTCCCTCAATCGACTAATCCAATAATTTGGATTGATCCAAATGACCCATGGGGGTTGAAGGTTAAATGAAAATTGGAACTTAACTGCTGGTCTGGTTTCTATTGACAAGTGAGCTTATGCCGTGGTGCGGCGTCCGTCGTCCGGTGTCAATATTTTACTTTAAATAACTTCTTCTGAATAACAAAGAGACACAGGCTAACGATATTTGGCCATGCTCGGATGAAGGGCTACCAAGTTTGTTCAAATTAATGACCTTTGCGTATTTTCAAGGTCACAGGGGTCAAATATGTTAAAATCTTTAAACAACTTCTTCTGAATGACCAGAAGGCACAGGATGATGATATTTGGCCATTAACATGCTGGGATAAAGCACTACCAAGTTTATTCAAATGAATGACCTTCGCCTATATTCAAGGTCAAAGGGGTCAATTATCTTAAAAAACTTTAAACGACTTCTTATGTATAACCAAAAGAGGTCCAGGATGATGATATTTGGCCAGAAGGATGTTGTCATAAAGGGCTACGAAATTTGTTCAAATGAATGAATTTCGTCCAAACTCAAGGTCACAGGGGTCTATTGTCTTAAAAACCTTTAATCGACTTCTTTTGTATAACCAAAAGGTCCAGGGTGATGATACTTGGCCAGAAGGATGCTACGAAGTTTGTTCAAATTAATGACTTTTGCCCATATTCAAGGTCACAGGAGTCAAATATGTTGAAATCTTTAAATGACTTCTTCTGAATTGACCTTGACATCCTTTCATGATCACATCTGGTACATAGTGCATACATCTTTAAAAGTCATCTTCTCAATAAACAAAAGATATAAGGTGGTGATATTTGGCAAGTCGCATTCTGGTAGGAAGGGCTATTAAGTTTGTTCAACTTTAAATGTCCATGTTTGACTTTCAAGGTCACAGGGGTCAAATGTGCTTTAACCGTTTAACAGGTTCTTCTGAAGTCAAGACACTGATATTTTGCCTGTAGCTTTATTTTAGTCCACTTTAAAGGTTACAATTGTGAGATTAATACCAGGTGAGCGATGCAGGCCCATTGTTACATTTTTGATATAAAATTGTAATGAACACCCAGCATGAGTGAAAATCTTGGTATGTTAAAATTCTGAAACCATGCAATTTTCTACTTATTACATTTTAATAGCACCTATAACTACAAAAATGTTACTGCCTCAAAACCGTTGAGGATATAAAAGTGTGATCTTTGGCACCCTATCATAACATCATGCTTGACTACAAGGCTGTCGCTGTTTTGAATGGTCTACCCAACACAATTTCTAACGTTCATTGCTATAATTTGTAATGATTTTCTTACATAAATGGTATCAGCTGTGTAGGTAAAATAATACCTTGCCATATAAGCAAATGTGTACCAATACAGCCACTTATTCTACCATCAGTCAGCCTTTGAACATACAATCAGCGGCTTTGAATTGTTAGAGCTGGATTACCTGCCCTAGTAACTTTTTTCTTCGCTAGGCTGGGCTCTTTACTGGTTTTGCCTGCTGTAGTTTTTTCTTTACCCTTCTAGACTTTACTTCAAAAATCAAAGAGCACAGCCTAGTGAAGAGTAATAGAACTAGGGTAGGTAATCCAGTCTAAAACAAATACCAAACCGTAGAGAAGCGCTCAATGCTAGATATTGCTACAGCATGAACAACGTCTTTATTTTAGGAGTAAGGCATGATTGTATTTGGGTTACATCAATTGCGCATGTCAATATAAAAAAAAAAGTATTTTCAAAATGGTGGCCTATAGTGGAGGCAAGAGACATTTCCCGCTGGCACACATTCTTCGAAGCAGTTGGGTATTGGACAATCTGGTAACGGCAACAAAACAATACCCACGGGTGTTATGGTAAGACAGTGATGCCCGAGAGCTACGCTCATATTATTTACCAGTGTAAGGTAAACTTTGCCAGAACTGGTGCCCGAGAGCTACGCTCGTATTATTTACCAGTGTATGGTAAACTTTGCCAGAACTGGTGCCCGAGGGCTGCGCTCATATTATTTACCAGTTTATGGAAAACTTCGCCAAAACTAGATTTAACTGGGATTTACTCATGACTAAATTCTCTAAAACATATCAATCCTCGACTTCTCCAATTTGATGTCGTAGTTGCTTTTGGAGATGATCGGGGATATTCCCCACTGGTTTCTACTGTATATACCACAGTATGTGTAAACATCAGGTTTGTAACAGAGCTTCCCTCGTAATCCTATTGAACGAATACCACTTTCCAAGGCTCTCACTTCATCTAAATTGAGAAAATTGTTGTTGTAGATACAAATTACATGTGAGGGATCTGTCATAAGCTTATCAGCATTCATGGTGGACACCTTGGCATAATGGCACGGAATTTGGGCTTCTGCGATGGCCTTAGCCACTTTAGTCCACAGAACATCAACCTTTAGTCCGGTTTTAACAGGAATCAGCATCCACTTCCCTGAGGTGACATGGAACTTCTCTGCCAGACTAAACAGCAGCTGTTTAGTAACGAGTTCCCGGTCTGAGGCAATCACTCGTGTGAAAGCATTCATCAACCCCATTACATCACTTTCAGGTTTATTTATGGAGGCCTGGTTATCTCGTAACACTCCAACAAAATCAGCCTTGTCACTGTAACAGAGCATTGTTCTCTATAATATACAGTTCAATTAGTCTACCCATATCAGATTTTCTGTCTACCATTATTTACTTTTACATAAAAAATATATATATAATTTCATCGATAGATCTGGAGTGTTTGAATGGCTGGATATTATGTAAATCTTATTTGTGAGGGTTACATCAGAACTGGTAAACTGACTGCAGATACAAGCCTAACAAACTACAGAAATATAAATTCAGTGCCACATTTTACTTCAATTTATGACTATTGCAGGTTAAAACATCCCACATGTGATCAATATAATAATAGTGCCATTAGTCAGTTACTAACAGCACACAGACTTAACTGTATGTGTTCAAGTTCTGGATACAGTAAACTTTATCATATTCATTGTCACCATTTTACAGGAAAATTATATGATACTGTCAGCATTATACAGTATTGTATGGTTATACTGTACAATGGTGGCAGTATAGCAAAGTTTTACTGTATTTTATATAGCAAAGTTTTACTGTATTTTATATAGCAAAGTTTTACTGTATTTTATATCAAAGTTTTACTGTATTTTATATAGCAAAGTTTTACTGTATTTTATAGCAAAGTTTTACTGTATTTTATATAGCAAAGTTTTACTGTATTTTATAGCAAAGTTTTACTGTATTTTATATAGCAAAGTTTTACTGTATTTTATAGCAAAGTTTTACTGTATTTTATATAGCTGTATTTTACAATAAAAGTTTGTTATACTGCCACCATTTTGCAATATAACCGTGTTATAATGCCACCATTTGTCAGTAAACCCTTGTTACACTGCTATCATTATACAGTATAACTTTGTTATACTGCCACTACTGTACAGTATTAACTTCCACCATTTTGCAATAAAACTTTATTATACTATTTTTTTAGCATTTTTTGTCATGAAAAGGGGGCTCAGATTATTTAAAGAGACTTGAAGAAAAAAAAGGAAAATGTGACATTCAACTACCATGTCAACAAGATTACAGAAGATATCATTATATCAAGGTGGTTACTGTAAATGTAAAAGTTTCCATTTGAGATTTGTCTTTGCATCAAAACACTTTTTTAGAGATTGTCAGAAGAATCAGAACATGTTAACAATACCTTCTGATAACAGACGGCATGTTATCCTCCAGCCACTTATCAAACGGTTCCTGCTCATATCCAACGTCATATACTACAGTCTCCTCCTCATCGTTCTGCTGAATCTTTTTAGTGTCCACAGCTAAAGCTTTCATGTCGATAAGAACTTCATCCATAGTCACTGGAAAAAACCCAGTAAGTGTAGATAACAATCCATATAATACTGTGAAACCTGGAAGTGCATACTTTGAATTCCGTGGGGGAGATTATGCATGCNGTTCTTTCAAATGAAATCATTAGATCCACCTTATAGTTAGCATATATGAAAGAAGAATTGCAATGCTGGTCAATATAAGTATCAACATACCCAAGTACCACAGCTGTATGGTTTGTGGTTCTATAGATCATTTATGCGATTCAACATTATGTAACCCCTTGAAAGGAGCGCAATGTCAGTTTGATGAAGAACTTTAATAACAATTCAAACAATGTACCAGTTACTTACTTGCCCATTGAGGTTGACAGAACTGTTAACCTCATATGATATGAAAGAGTTAAATTCCTTTTTTTTATAATCATACTTTTAAAACGGCAGGTAAGTTAAAACCTGTTACATGTGTAACTCAACTATAGTTTGAAATATGTTGTATGTGTAAGTGACAATGCATGTTTGATTTATTCATTGTTGACCTGTATGCAGTGTACTAATAATTTGAACATGATCATGAACGAAGTATACTGTAAGATGAACTTAACTAGAAAGTCATATGTCATTATAACGAGGTACTAAGTCGATATAACAATTTGCTAAGTCGCCATAATGAGATAACATCTTGTTATAATGGGATACTAAGTCGTTATAATGGGATACTAAGTCGATATAACGGGACAGAAAGTAATTTTAACGAAATAATATCTTGTAACAACGGGATACTAACTCGTTATAACCAGATGTTTAGTTGTTATAACAAGATACTAAGCTGTTATAAAGAGATATTAAGTCATTATTACGTAATTATTATAATATCTTGTTATAACAGGATACTAAGTCGTTATAACCAGAAATTAAGTCGTAATAATGATAAACTAGCCGCTATAATAAGAGACTAAGTCATTATAAATGATGTATTAAGTCGTTATAATGAGATAATATCTTGCTATAACTGGAAACTAACTTAATTTTTATAACAAGAAACCAACTTGTTATTGCAAGATATTAATGAAAGTCTAATAATGAGATTCTAAGCCGTTATGAGAAACTTACTTGTTATAACGACATGAAACTAGTTATAATGAGATATTAAGTCGTTAAAACAAGATACTAGCCGTTATAACGAGATACAAAGTCATTATAATGATATACTACGTAGTTATAACAAATAAGTATCTTGTTATAACACAGGATACCGACTTATTATAACGAGATATCAACTTGTTATAACCAGATGTTAAGTCGTAATATTGAGATGCTACACGTTTTAATGATATACTAAGATGTTATAATGAGATAATTATAATATCTTGATATACTTTAACAAGATACGGTACTAACAGGTCCAGCACACTCTGGGGATTGAGCTATATATATATAGCTATAAAGACCTACATGTATATAGCTATATCATTCGCCTATAAATTATAGCTGTATTGAGCTATATTTTCTCTGATTTCAATTTTCATTAAATTAAAGCAAAGTCGCATAAAACAATAAGGTTTATGGTAATGTTGACTACAAAAAGCATACATTTAGATGTTATTTTCATCTTTCATAAATTTAAAATTTTCGATTTTTTTACATCATTATTTATTAAAAAGAAAACTAATATTTAATGTCCTTTGTAATCTACCTTGTATTGATAAAATCTTCTTTTAAAAGCGGATTTGTTTCGTTTTCCTTAAAAAAGAAAATCACATGAAAATAGCTCAAAAGACCTTCTTCAGATATTTACAGCTCAATTGGCATAGTGTACTGGATAGACCACAGGAGCCTGAAGTTATATCAAAAATCAATAATAACAGTAACACAAAAAAATACCTATAATATGATTAAAAATAGATTTTTAAGCATATTATAGGCATTTTTTGTGAGGACAAAACCCGGAATGCACTCAGGCGTGAAGAGTTTTATGTTGAATTTTTGTATATATTAGGCCGTATCTCCCTAAATGCGCCATAGATTTTTATTCGGAGACCAGATTCGGAAAGATAATTTTATACCCATTACAATGATATAAGTTATGCTTACCTTCATTTAGTATTGGAAGTGAAAGTGGTGGCCGGAATGAACCACTATGAAATAAAAATGGCAATATTTTCAACTGTTTTCGTTCTAATAAATACTCAAACCTCGAAAAATAATGAACCGATTTTTGTTCGGAGACAACTCTGGTCAAGCGAATTTGCACTTGTTAATATGATACCAACTGTTTAAACACATTTTTCATATTAAACGCAAAAGTGGTGGCCGGAATGAATCAAAGTCGTTTGAAAAATGACAAAAAAGGCAAACTTTCTCGTAAATTTCTGTTCTTTTTTACCCATTACTCGTTAATTACAGAACTGATTTTTGTTCGGCGACCACTCTAAGCAAGGTAATTTTATAATCTTTAAGCTGATGTAACATTTATTAATATACATCAGAAACTCGATGTAAAATTGATGGCCGGAATTAACCACTATGAACGTATGTGTGCAATACAAGGGAAGTAACTCGAAATGAAAAACGATTACCTGTAGAACTTCAGACATTCTTATAGAATATATTTTTATTTTGAATACTTTTAATTTACCGCACAGAATATTTATTTTCAAAACCTACGATGTTCGTAACATAAACAATCTTCTTTCGAATCATCAATATTTGCATATCCTATATATGTTTCCATGTTTTACAATGAATCCTACCTGTACTCAAATTTCAACCAATCATCTCATCCATCCAATCTGGTAACCCACAGGAACAGCTACAATTGATAATTTGCTATTGCAAAAATGCCTTTTTTATGTGCGATGCTATTTTAACAAATTGTGGAAACGGTCTAAAGTGTCCCTTTTCTTAAACAACAAATCAAATATTCTCGCATTTGGTTTTCAATGAAGTGAGTTTTTTGCTTGAATTAATTTCCGTAAAAACAAAATTCTACCATATTTGCTATTGCAAAAAGTCCCCAGTCGTAACCGTTATTTTGTTCCTGTACATCCAAATTTGTACCGACTCTGTGTCTTGGCGTCGAATAGGGAGGTCTGTGTTATGTTTGTTATTTATCCCGGGTCTCAGACAACCAGTTACAAACGGCAGTAGAGAAACGTCTCTGCTTTCGTTAGGTACAGTGCTCTTCTTTTTTTTTCGCCAGGCATGTCCGGAGGCTTAGATTATCCGGGGGTCTCTATGGTGTATGCGAGTTTTTACCTTTAATCTAGTGGGTGTGCTTTTATATAGTAAACAAACATTTATAGTCCTGCCAGATAGATATATGAGTAATCAAAAAAGTAAAAATTGGCAGTTATAAGAAGATAGCAAAGAGAGCCTTTAGAGAGGGATGTGCAAGTTACGAAGCTGGTAATATATATATATATTTATAAGGAGGAACTATATTTATAAGGAGGAGGTATATATTAATAATATTTTGCCGTCATAATTATTTATTTAAACATACTTATAAAAGATAAGTAAGGTCTGAGGGTACCATTATCTTAGGATTTTATGTAAGTTATTATGTATATTATTTGTATAATTTAAAAAAAATAAAAAGATGATAAATGTCAGATACATATAATTCGTGCTAGCTGGGCGAGCCCTGTTCTCTAGCCTATATATCAGCTTTATAGCCTATTTCCTGTTTCTGTCAGTGTGTCGGCAGAGGAAATTCTATCATTTTAATAAAAGATGGGATGATGGGTGGTGTGATGGGTAATAATGGAAGGTGAAGTAGGTTCACGGATATTATTTAAACAATTAGAAACAATTTATTTAGGTGCAAAAAAGATCTGTTGTGATCATTACAGAGTTATAATTATTTACTCCGACAGTAAAGATATATATAACTGGTCCCCTGCCATGGGAACAGTTACCATGTATACACTAACTGTATCTATTTTATATGTTCAAAGAAGAAAGTATTCTTCATACCCAATAATTAATGGGTTGGAGGTATAAGTTACCAGGCGGGTCATTTACTAGTAAAAATATATTAAACTCTCTCATTCCACTTTTTGGCCTATTTCAACAAGCACTAGGCATTTTAATATAACCATAATGTGTTCACCCATCACTTTAACTCCTCCTAATCCGCAAGCTCATCATGATCATGGTAATTTAGATTCGGATCACATTATAATTTAACCATTACATGAAGTCTATACATCGGTCGCTATTCACCATGCAGGGCGTGGCGTGTTGTTTTAGCAAATGTGATCGCGTGGATCGTCTTAAAATGGCGTCCGCAGATTTCATAATGGTTCATTCCGGCAAACACTTTTGCTTCGTGTTTGTTCTGTAATTATATATAACGAGTAATGGGTAAAATAGGACAGAAATTTACGAAAAAGTTTGACTTTTTTGACATTTTTCAAACGACTTTGATTCATTCCGGCCACCACTTTTGCGATTAATATGAAGATATGTTTAAACAGTTGGTATCATATTACCAAGTGCAAAATTCTCTTGACCAGAGTGGTCTCCGAACAAAATTCGAATTCGGTTCATTATTTTTCGAGATATGAGTATTTATTAGAACGAAAACAGTTGAAAATATTGCCATTTTTATTTCATAGTGGTTCATTCCGGCCACCACTCTTGCTTCTAATTTTAATTACTGTTAAACATTACTTATATCATTGTAACGTGTATAAAATTATCTTTCCTAGGCTGGTCTCCGAATAAAAATCCATTATATATTATAGGAGATACGGTCTATGATATATGAAAATTATATACAGTAATGACCATCTTCATCTATTTGAAGATTATGTCATGGACTACTTCTTTAATCTAAGACATACGATATAATAAAATGGTTTTGGCCATACTATTGCATATATGTACCAAATCATACAGTTTCCATAACCGGAGACGTACAACTCACAACTAGTACTAGCAGACCAGTCGTAGACTCTGGTATGACGTGGTATGGAATCTCTGTCCTCATCGAATGCACCAGGTTTTAAAAACAACTTCCGGGACCTTGTCACGATAATCTTTCTATTTTTATTTTTATTTAATCATTATCAACTTGGTTTATTTTCTTCATCGCGTGATAATTAAAATAAATAGGAACTAAGACTGTTTTCTTCTGAAATACATATGTTGATATTTGAGTTGCACATTTATTAATGATATTTCTACTGTGGGACATCACAGAACCGGATGTTTTTGCGTTCAGTGAACTCATAAAATGTCTCAAGTCAGAGAAACGATTGAACTATTAACAAAATTGTTGAGAAGAAATGGCACATTTAAGATTAAGGCGGAAGTTTTCAGATTGGCGAAATTTAACAGTGATGAAGCTGTAAGTTGAACAATTTGAGAACGCCGAAGCTTATTAGCCTTATAGAAGTTATACGATTTAATGGGCAGCGATATCGTTTCCTTTTTCTTTTAGGGATCAACCAGTCGGTCTATCTATCTTGTATACTGTTCACAATCCTCTGGGAATTATTCCGAACAGGTGCAACTGTACATGCGTGGCAGCAGGTGAAGTGCGTATAGGTGTATGCACAGTCAGGTTTGTGTATATACAGTGCGGTGTGTGTATTTACAGTGCGGTCAAAAATTTGAAGTGTCTTATACATGTACTCGCGATTCATTCAACCTGGCCTTGAACAGGTCCAAGGGGGTCGTCTGAATGATGTGTAATGGCACCATGTTCCACGCTGTGATGGTCCTGGGGAAAAACGAGTACATGTATGTGTGTTGGTCCTAGTGTGTGGTCTTTGGAATCCCTGACTGTTGTGAGTGCGTGTTCTTCCTTGTTGTGGTATTAAGTACAGGTCTGGTGGAATAGCTACC